TTCTAGGAACACAGACAAATTATCTGACTTTTCTGTATCTCAGTTGTTGTGAAAGAAATTAGCACAGTGTCTATTTTTCCTATTTGAAACGGTTTGAGGAAGCTTCATTTAAGTTATGAAATACAACTCATTTTAGGCTAATGCAAAAAGTCTGTAAGACAATAATATCTGGATAATTATTCACCATATTATAGAGTACAATAAAAAGCAAACTATCTGGTTATTGTGCATACAAATCAACTATTAGCTTGTGGTTATAGCTTTGTGCTGTAGGCATAATTCTAATATCCTATAATTGTAATTCACCTTCCCTCAAACTTTTGAATGATTCTCCTTGTTATTTCCATAATAAATGAACTCTATGCTAGAGAAGTACAAATCCTGTCACCTCCATATCACTCACTACTTGAAGAAGCAGTTTCTTTCATTTTGTCTTTGTCCATACTATAGAGCAAGCAAAGCAAGCATTTATCAACTCCGCTGTTAGCATCTGGTAAATTCTAGAGCACACTAAAAAATTTTTGTGGATGACTTTATCCCCTCTTTTAGGATGGAACCAAAAGAATATCCTTTGTTAACTTTAGAAACTCTTGTCTGTCAGCTGGCATGGTTTATGCGTGGGAAAAGAGATCAGAGTTTCTACCGCAACAGATTCTTTCTGGGGAAGGTTAGGTCACATTTTTACATAGTTTTTATATTATATACTAAATATAGAAATTTCATTGAAACCAAACTTAAATAAGGAAAGGGATGTAAAACAAAATCATGTTTCCTTGCTTTCTGTTGTTAGCGACTTCTAATAATTGCATTTTACTATGAACTTTTAGACAAAATTATTTCTATAATTATTTAATATTTAGAGCACTTAACTGTAGTTTAGCAATTGTGGTTTTGACAGACTTTTAAATCTTAATTTAGTATGGAAGAATGTATTTTAAATGAAGGTACGTTTACTTTGAAAGAATCAATCTCATAATAGAATGTTTTCATTTTCTCAGTTTTGCACTAAGTGACATTACATTTTCTCTTTAAAAAAATTTTTTTTGAACTTTTTGAGAGAGGGTCTTCCAGTAGCCCCAGCTGGCCTGCAACTCCCTATGTAGACCAGGCTGGCCTTGAACTCACAGAGATCCGCCTGCCTCTGTTGGGATTAAAGGTGTGCACCACCACGCCCAGTTCTTTTTCTTATATTATTAAGTAGTAGTTAAAACTGTTAAATTTTGATGAAAGTGATCATTTTCTTTGGGTTTAAGGGGACAGGGGGGAGTCTCTTGGGGGACTAAGGGAACATTTCCTGCTGTCACCTCATCAATGCAATCCTCCTACTATAGAAATATGGTTTGGCAGTGATATACTTTAAAAGGATAAAAAGGGAAATCTAAGTGAAAACTGAGAGAATTTCCTAAGGTAAATCGCAACCTTACGGCCCAGATACATTTGGCTTAGAAGTCTGTGCTGATAAATCATCTCTATTTAATGGTTACTTTAGAAGTCATTTCAGTAGAAAAAATTGTGTGGCAATATTGGCACTGAAATGCGTGCTCTGGTGTAATGAAAATTTTAACGATACATAAAATTTATTCAATATTTAAATTGGATGAAAGAACTGCTGGCTTCCTGGTAAGGCAAGACTAAGTATGCATACTTGTGAGAGACTGTCAAACATTATGGAGGCTGTGGAGTCTGCCTCTGGTGATGTCAGTGCATGATGCTTCCTCAGCCTGGTGCTTCCTTTCAACTCAACAATGCGGAATAATATGAATTACAACCTATGTGTTGAAAAATATTTATCATTTGTTTTTCCATCCTAGCACCCATAATAATATGGAACAGCAGAATCACAGGATCAAAAGAAAGCTTTTCAGAGAAGATAACAAAGTCCAAAAAGTTATTAGTATCAAACTGCATAAACTCTCATTGCTTAACACAGACACTAATGAGTAAGAATGAGTTTGGAGACGATTGAAAAAATAAGGAAAAGAAAGAAAGGAAAAGGCATTAGACAATGAAAATGGTTCTAAGGGAAATTTTGACAGAGAGTAGACAGGGTGGTGGGGAGTAGCTCCTTAAGACGTAAATTTCAGGCTGTGCTCCAGGTACCTGGACCGCCATTGACATTCATGTGTGAGCTTTCCAGTTCTCAGCTGTCTAAATTGCACACTTTAGCTTTTCAGAGTGAATGGCTTTACAAGACCTGGATTCCTTCAAGAAGATATTTGATAGGGTAATGGAGTTTATTGCAAAAACACATTTACTTAAAGTGTTCCAGCTCAAGCAATAAGTGGAAATTTTCTCTACCCAACATATGTGTATATTAACGAGTAAGAAGCAGGTCCAAGAATAATTATGGATGAAAGAACATGACAAAGTTCAATCATGGGAAGCAAAAATAAGATCATAAATCTGAGCAATGGTATTTTCTCAACACCCAAGACATGCATGCTCCTCTTCATTTTACTCCATATTTTCAATATTGTGACAGGAATATGAACATAATGGACTGCTCCTCTAAGGACACATTGGAAAGGTCTCATTGCTGGTCTTTCACGGATCATATGCATTTGTTAGGAAAATTTATCTGTAAATATATATGTGGAAATTATGAAGTATACTTCAATATTAAAAAGGGCAGGAAATTGAAAATAAAAGCTATTGTATAAAGTTACTGATAATTTCATTTATGGCAGGAATCAGAAGGTTAATGGAGGCATCTGTGGGCATCATTTAAAAAAATATTCTGAGGCTAGAGAGATGGTTCAGTGGTTAAGAGCACTAGCTGCTCCAGCAGAGGACCTGGGTTCAGTTCCCACTACCCACATGATGGCAACAACAGTCTCTTGGTAACTTCAGTTCCAGCGGATCCAACACCCTCTTCTGGCCTCTACAGGGCACTGCATGCAGAGGTGCACTTAAATACATGCAGACAAAATACTCATGTGCATAAAATATAAATAAGAAATAGAGCATATCTAAAAAAAAATTCAAGATTTATAATATTTCCCTTGGGCATGTGTCATAGTTACAGATAGGTAATTTAAAAATATTTGGTGAGGCTGAATTATGATGCCCAAATGATATATTCAGGGTTTAAGTGGATGGATATGATAGAATCAGTTTCCTAATGAATTGTCTTTGGTAGCAGGCTGATTGCATGTTGCAATGACATCACCATAGGTGGGGAGGGTGTCAGGTTGTGTTGTGATAGTGGGAATAAGGCAGGAGGATGTCATGAGAAGGAAGATGAAAGAATGACTCTACCACCTTCCACTTTTAGTTCTCTGTCAATGGATGACAGGTATCCCAACTTCAAGATTCATTTCATTGGGATTTAAACAAGAGCAATTTCAAGGATTATAAAATGTGCATTCATTCACTGCCTTGACAATACTTGGTTTGCATTTTAGAGGAGCCCATAGTTAAAAGACTTTTAAAAGAGAATTTAAACTTTTTAAATGTTTGGATTTTTTAAGGACTGTGGGACTTTTAAAGTTGTGCTGTTTTATGCTCTGATATTAATATTAATATCATATCTTGGGAGCAAGAAATGGAAAGGTTGTGGTTTAATAACAGTGTGGTTGTGTGTCAAATTGACAATGGTTCAATTGTGCTGGGTAGCTTTAGTTGTCAACTTGACACACTCCGGTAGAGGGAGACTCAACTGAGGAATTTTCTCCATTGAATTGGCCTGTGGCCATGTCTGTGGGGCATTTTCTTGATTGTTAAGTGATGTGGGAGGGCCCAGTGAACTGAGAACAGAGAAAAAGACACATTAACATAGAGGTTCCCTTTACAATTTTGTTCTGGGCTCTTTCCTGCCAGAACATGTACCATTCTAGGTCTACATCATGGTTTTTAGGTTACTGTTTCTTTTTAAATTATTTTTATCTTTTTATGTATATGAGTGTATTGCTTGCATGTACATAGGTGCACCCATGTGGTGCAGTGCCCTTGGAGGTCAGAAGAGGGCATTGGATTCCCCTGGAACTGGCGTTACATATGGCTGTTAGCCGCCATGAGGGGCCCTTCGCCAGAGCAGTCAGTGCTCTTAACTGCTGAGCCATCTCTCCAGCCCAGGTTAGTGTTTCTTAAACTTCAGTAAGTCATGTACTAACTTCTTAGGTTTTTATCTGTTTATAGCATATTCCTATTTTGTGTTTTTCTTTAAATCAATGATTTGGTAAGTACAAAACACCATGAGTGCATTTTTACATGCAAAGATTATATCATTCCTTTAGAAAACAAACCAGTAAAACTTGCTATAACAGACAGCCAATATAAACTCAATGAGGTAAAATAGCATTATCTAATTCTAGGAGATGCCTACCCAAGTCTTTAAGACTCAGAAAAAATTCCAACTTTTGGAGGTTAGAAATGTGTTTATTACATCTTGGAGAAATGTTACAGTTACATTAGAACCAAAATTGAGAGTTTTTCTTTGGCACACCCAAAATGTTGGAAAAACAATTGCAAATGGACAAAATGAATTACCTCTCTTATATAGTGATATATTGTTTCATGGTGTGTCCTATATCAGCTAAAATATTTTAGCAAAACCCTAGTTTAGGCTGAATGTACGAGTTTAGGTTTCATTATATCTTTCTTCTTTTTCTTATTCTATGTGAACAAATTCATCAATAAACTTGATTGCATAATTGCAAAGCGTTTTGTAAGAATTATTTGTTCTTCAAACATGCAATATGGGCAAGACGAAGATTATTTATAAGGTGAAGTTACTGGTGCTTCAAGCAGTCAAAGAATTTACTCAGAATGAAATGTAGCCCATTCTCACCAGAGATGGAGGAGGAGGAGGCAAGCCTCTTAAGTATGCTAGCAATGTCTTGCACAACAACACAGGATAAACGAGTGTGCAGTACTAAATGATCTCTAGGGATTTGATCTTCAGTTTCCTGACCAGAAGATCATACCCTTTTCTCAGAGATAAGAAACCTCAAACCTCAGACCAATAAAATCCAGCTTAGGGAACAGCCCGTGGGACTTACCTCCTGTGAGCATGAGGGCACATTTGCACATACAGTTGTCGTTATCGGCATCTTTGGTGCTGAAATCAGCGCCGTGTAAGATCAGGCTGCTCTGTTTGCCTGCTGTCCCTGTGTGACCCTTTAAATATAACCTGCAGTTAAAAAGAAAGAGAGATCAGCCATTTGACAGAGTAGCAGAACCTAAAAGACAATTTGTTGAACACTTAACTTTCTTTCTTTTTAGGATTTTCTCCTGATTTTGATCTCAAAAAATTTCCAACAAATCATTCTCTGAACCAGTAATAATAATAAAAAA